CCCCCCCTTTCTTTCCCTTCCCTTATAAAGGCCTGGGGAGGGGATCGAGCTCCCCTGCCACCGCCCCTGCTGCCCTGAAAAAGCCCCTCAGCCGGGTGCGAGCAGAGCTGGAGAGGTTTTCCCTCAGTAAGAGAGCTGGATTGAGGCTGGAAAAGGAGCAACCCCGGTTCTGTCATCTGTCCCTGAACGGGGTCACCCCTTCCCCCTGCTGCACCCCCTTACTCTCATCTTAGAGGAAGTGAGTCAAGAGTGATTTTTCTTTGCATATATCAGAACCCAGCTTATGTTCTTTAGTGATGGATGTAAGAGCTAAAGCTCTGTTTAGGTCAAAGGTACCATGTGTGGGGATATGAGTCCTGCCCACTTTGGTCCTAGTGAGACAGGATGAGGCCTTGATCATCTTAAATGCTCAATACTGATGAGTCAAGGCCAGTTTTTATTTATGAGAACTAAGGTGAAACTTCCAGGCTGAGCAGTCTTCAGTTTCACATCTTGAATAAATGGGAGGAGAGTTGTGCTCCCCTTTCCAAGGATAGCCTCTCTTAAGGGGGGTAACTGCGCACTCAAGAGATAACAAAAAGTCATCGGATGAAACTGAAATTGTCATGGAAATGGTGCTCTACTCAGCCAAAATGGACGCTTATTCACATTTATAGTGGTCTGGAGACATTGAGAAATGTGTAGTCTCTGTTCCTTCTGAATACCCTTGGAAGCTGGAGACTTGAAAGTCCCTAAGCGCTGCTCACTGAAACCAACATTACTGTTAATTTGTTGAGGGCATTACTGGGGAAGGTGGTGACAATGTTGCTTACACTGAGTAGCAAGAAGTTACTGGTTAGACACCTTGAAAAAATTGGTGTGGGTAATTCTGGACTGAAACAAAATCTGATTGTGAACAAAAGGAGGACAAGTATTTCCAGCAAACTGGAATTCCTGCTTTTTGATATGCCATATTCTGAATGCTGGTCACAAATAAGTGAAACAGTGTATTAAACCTCTAAAGAGAATTTTGTTTTATTTATTGAAGGTAGTATATTTGAAAGTACAAATATTCTTCATGATATTAGAAACTTGCTTGTAGTAGTGATCAGCTACTTATACATAACTGCTGGTTTTTGATGAGAATAATGGATTTATAGTCTAAACTCGAGAACCAGACACACCTGCCTTGGAACCTGATTACTGTCAGCTCTAGTAATGTAACGTAGAGACATTACAAAGAAGGTTCTTGTAACTTTTTTTTTTTTTAACGTCTAAAATTTGCATCAGCATACATCACTGACTGTGCTATTCTGCCAGTTTTGATCACTGAGAATAGTACCGTACTCGATGAATATTTTTGGCGATTTCAGCAATTACAGTAAATAGGTTGGTGAAATTGGGTTATAAGTGTTTTGCTTATCTGTGTTGGAGGTTTTTATCAGGTCATATATTCCAGTTTGTATTTCAATAGGAGGGTAGCTTGTTTTTCTTTAACATTCAAGTGTAAAACATTTTCCTTGGTAATGCATTATAAATGTGCAGCAGAGAGGCAGATGATTCACTGTTATTAATTATAATATTTTAAATTGCAATTCAGATATTTTAAATCTGAATTAGATTAGAATTAGAATTGTTACTATTGATTACAAAAATAACACCAGTAACAATGTAAATGTAGAATTTGTTTAAAATATTTAATAGTTGTTCAGATTCTCTAAGGTTGCACAAACTGTTAGATTCTTCCGAGTTACTGCATTTTGCCCTCTATTTGTCCTTTTTCCTTTCGCTTTAATCCTTCCTTAATCCTGTGTGAAGAGATTATTGCCAATATGTTACTAAGAATATAAAACAAGCTGTTGTTTACAATAGGATTTCTCTTTTCAGTTTGGTAGCCAAGACTATGATGGCGTATTTACATTCCAGAACTGCATATAGCTTGGGAAATATTATTGTATAAGCTGTATGATGGCAAAGGCCGCTTCGGAGGCCTGCGTTACCAAGAGAAGCTAGATTGCACCCTTGTTCTCTCAAGGTTGGTACAAAAGAGGAAGCTGAACATCAAACTTGGAATAGAAGAGATCACAGGGAAAAATTTGCTAACCTTACTTGGGTAGGTGCAGTGTAAAATGTGAAATGTGCAAATGTCTATTGTAGTGAAGTATGAATCTTTACGTCATTGGTTTATATTCTATATCATTATATTCTCTAATTTCAACAGAACAGAAGAAGCCTCTGATCCTGATATCATCGCAGCCCGATAAAAACAAATATTTAGCAGTTTCGTTTATTCTAGTATCAGTGGATGATGGTGGTCAGAGTCTTGCATGATCCAGGTCTGTACGTTTTGGTCAGCAAAGCTCTGTCAACCTTCAGTATTTCTTATGGACCACTACATGGTATATCATTGCTGTAAGATTAACTGTTTAGTTGTCCACAGAACTGCATTTTGTTTTCAGATATTTCTGGTATTTCTGGTGAATTCTCTAAATAGAATTGGAATAATGGAACAGTGGTAACAAAACTGCAGAATAGCCTAGAGTCAAATGCGATACGTGAAGTCATTTTTTTTTTTACTGTATTTAGTTAGTTTTCCATTGATGATGTCTCACTAAGAGTTCCCTCAGGTGCCTTTCTAAATGACCAAGACAACTCTTTCAAGAGAGTCATCAGCAAAAATCGCCTAGCGGTTGAATATGTCGTATTTATGATGGTACCTAAATGTTGCTGTCAAGATACATTGTTTTTACATCTGATTTTATGCATTTCTATAGAGCAACTTTGACATTTCCATTTGACTCCCAGGAGAATGTGCTGACACTTCTGTACTTTAGTAGATTAAGTGTCTTTATACCCTAAAAAATTACAGTATACAGCAGAGAAGGAATATAACCAAATGTATTACAGAACAGACAAAAGACATGTTTATTATGGCTACAATATATTACATTACATAGGAATTTTAGAGGGAAGAAACACTTTATGCGATGCTATTTCAAGTGTCCAGGCTGAAATAATAGTGAGAATTGAATGAAAGGAAAAATTGTAAAATAACTTAATTATCTTAGAATCCTAAACGGACTCTAAAAGCTGATAGGACTCAGGCACCAAAATCAGGCGACTTAAAGGTTAAAACGTGAGGTCTGTACCTAGATCTGGGTCTTTGCTTATTCCAAATGCAGAATTTCCTGTCCTATTACTTTAGTTTACTTAGTTAGCAAAAAGTTAGGTGTGAAATGTAGATACACATGCGAGTTCTCCAAAGTTTTTTAAAGTATTTAACTCCAGAAGTTCAGGTTAGGGCCATCTTTGGCAGGTCTTACAGACAGAGACCATGGAAAACATGTTTTAATCAGGGCGCAATTACATTTGTTGAAGCGAAGAAGTGCAGATATTCAAATCCTGTTACATTTAATTTTACTTTGTGTTATATGAAGCTGTGGTTGCCTATTCATAAAATACATATGCACTATATCACTGCTCATGCTATAGGTGCTGTGTTTTAAAACGTGCACTAGAATACCTTCAGACAGTGGGGTTTTTTAGTATCTCTAACAATTGGTAAGCAACAAGATATGACTATTTAGCATGTATTTTAGCTTGAAAGAAACACTTGTTCATCTGTTTATTACTATTATAAGTGGTCTTGTTGAAGAAATTGCATTATTCAAGGTAATAAAGACCGGAGGGCATGCAGGCACTTTTAGGAATAAGTTATAAAGCTGAATTCTCAAAAAGACGATGGCAGAAAATATAAATATATGAAAGTCCAATATAAGACTCTGATTATTGTTTTAGTTGGCTATGTTTTTTACTTCTTATTAAATCTGCTTTGTAAGATGTTATAAAATATACTGTTAAACGGTGATCTTATTTTATTGTAAAGATGGTTTTTTTCATGGATAGATAAAAAGTTCTTTATATTTTTTGTTGTCAAATTGGTTGTTGTCCAGTGCAAAGATTATAAATTGAGAATGTCCACTGGGTCATTTGTTACTGGCATCTTGACAGCTGTCATAAGATTCCCCCCGGTAATGGAAGCAGCAGTGAGGGATGAGGTGCACATCACTACTTCTCCAAGGAAGCAGCATTTCGAGTAATAACAGCCTAGAAACATCAGTGTATTGTCTAGGCAGATGCTTGTTTTACATAGCAGACTCATCTACTCTGCGATATTGTGTTCACAGTAGTAAAGGGACAACTTTATTGTTGAATTTTGCCAGGCCTGTAAAAGTAAACTGAAATGTGTTACCAGCTGAATTTGAGTGCCTTAACCTATTTGGACAGTTTTACCAGCCTGTAGCTTACTCTGGCACAAAGAACTACAGAGTTGCATTTACAGCTAAATTTTGCATCTCCGATAGAGGTAGGTTGAGGGTGGATGTCAGTTGATTTAAGTGTTAGTTAGCATTAGCAGGGGCAAAAATAGAGGCAATGCTGGAATTTGGTTAGCAGTAGATGACTTGTCTGTATTTAAGCGTTTGGGTTATGGTGAATAAATGCTGTGGTGACTGACTGTTAAATTTTCCGAGGCCTACATAAATAAGTGGATGCATATTGCACAATTGCCTATTATCAATATTTAGGATTGTGCCAGTATACAACCAAGGCTAAGGTTAGAACTAGGATTTGTGCATAAGACCTATAAAAACAAGACTTTGCCAAACTTTGCTTTCCCGTTAGGGGTAAGATGAAAGCTGCTGTCTGCTGACAAGAATTCCTTAATCTTAAGTTTTGGCGACAGATAATATTATGTATAGCCAAAGTTAGGGTTGGAGTTTGAATTAGGATTCAAATTAAAGTTTAGGTAAATAGAAGATGAAGAACCAACAATTTTTAATGTGTACTCTCCTCCAGATGAAAATTCGGATTAAGGCTTCCAGATTAATGCATGTGAGCCTTATACTTATCTCTATAGGCCTTTTAAAACTGAACAATAAACTTAACTCATCAGCCATTACTATGCCTAATCCTAACTGTGGCTATAGATGAAGAACTGTGTGAACTTCTGAGTGAGATAGCCAAATAAGTTTATACTTTGAGGAAGAATGCAGGGATTTGCGTTGGGGAAGGTGCACTCATCCTGCTTCTTCACCTCCCTCCTTCACTAGCTTTAAGCCTAGCTAACCTGCTTGCACTGCCAAATCAAATCACGGCATTCTGACCCAAAAAGCGTCAGCCCTATATTTCCCGTAGCACACTGTGCAAAAGTTGGCTTCTTTTATCTGTGATCCCAAACCTCAGCCCTACCTTTCTTGCAGATTAGGAACCTACTGCTGTCTGCAAACTCAGAATAAGAAGTTCTGTCAAAGGACGTCAGCCTTAAACACACCTCTGCAGTTCTAGCGAATTATGACAGTAATTGTGACTCTCTGGTCCCTGCTTACTCTAATCCTAGATTAGACGCCTTCTGTGGTTTGAAGGATTTAAAAGAAATAGTTTTATTGCAGTGTTCTAGTTAGAGAATACTTCGATATCTTGGAGGTATTATTGCTAGATACAAATAGTACAGTCTGTTACCTAAAATACTGTAAAATTACTTGTTTACCTATTCTCTTATTTTTTTTAAGGATCTATATGAGAATGACCGTGCCCTTCTCTTTCTTAAACTTTATATCTGGATCTCAGAATAGCTATAATTTGGAGCAGACCAGTGAATATCCTGCTCAATTATGAGAAGACATTCATCAACATAAAACAGTCTGGAAGAAAAAAATTTCTGTAAGAAAATAAGAGCGCAGAATCCATTAGTAAAACAGAAGGCATTTAGTAGTTCCAAAGCTTTTGGCTATCCTGGCCTTACAAAATGAATCGTTACACAACCATGAAGCAACTGGGCGATGGCACCTATGGCAGTGTGTTGATGGGAAAGAGCAACGAGTCTGGAGAACTCGTGGCTATCAAAAGGTATGTGTTACTCAGTAAACACACTTGGAAGAGCTTTATGATAATGTATGTGGTTTACCATCTCTGTACAGGAACAAAGGACAGCTTGTTTTTTTCCCAAGGAAATTAATGTAACAAAAATATTTTTTTCTGTTAAGGTGCTTAGCTAAGTGATCTTGCCTCAGACTTCCAGCTGGGGTGTCAATAGTGAGACACATCAGTTTGCCTAAGTTACTTTTTGGCTTATAAAATTACATGCTGCTTTTGTTCAGTTACAATGTACTTCCTTCTAAAATGTTCTTAGGCTAATGCCAATGGAAAAGCAAAATGGAATGTACAGTTGATAGGTTAGGGAGATTTTGTTTTCCCATAATATGAACTGTAAAAACAGATAACATCCCTCTTAATGGGTAGATTTAAAACCCCCTGCCCTCCTCTCTGCCCTGCAAATCATTTTATGTACTGTGCAAGTATCAGATATTACTACAGTAATAAATGCCAGGTAACCATCTGGCTAGATCTCCTTGGATCTAATACAGTTATGTTGTGCATAATCATCAGCATTGTCATATTTACCTAAAAAGATTATTACAAAACAACAGAAATTGCATTAGAGGAGTAGGGATGTTCCCCTTTATTCCTACAGAATTGCAATGCAAGAGACACTACATAAGTAGAAATACCAGAAATTCAATGTTACTGAGGTTTTTTTTTCCTTTTATGACTTTACTGTGGAAAGGTAATTGGAATAAAATTGACTCAGCACTGTTGTTAGAATTGCAGGTGGTTTTGAGTTTCTCCATACACAACTGGTACGGTTACCTAAAGTTAATAAAATGAATCAAGACTCAAAAAAAATCTCTGATTATTTTTATAATTTTTAGGCAAAGGGAACAACATTTTGTGGGGAATATTTTTCTGTTTTTTTCATTCCCCTGATTTCAGCGTTTGCGATGTTTTTGTGTGATTTTAAGTTTGTGGTGGGGAGGCAACTTAGGTGGCAGATATATTAATTTTAAAAGAAAATCTCAGTTTTAAATAGATTCACTCTAGGAAGTAGAACTTTTCAGAAACACATTAAACTACATGAAATTCACAACCAAATCCTAAGATATGAGCACTACCTAATATCCATGTTTTATCTATGCAAGACTTAAAAATAAATTAAGTTACACTGTTACACGTAGCAGTTAATTTAGAGACTCTGTTTATCTGTACGTATGCGTATTCCTTGGAAGACTAAATGAATTTTTGTTCTCTGTTAAATACCTTTGTAAAAAAAAGCTTTGTAAAAATGACTGATCAAGTCAGATGGCTAATTATAGTGTTACGCACTTAAAATACTCTTCAGATTTCAAAAGTGTAATTATTCTTGTTTTCATAAATATTTGTAACTAAGGCACAAACAGGTGATTTCTCTTGTTTCAAAGATCCACATTTAATGGAGTGGTGTTGTTTCCCTTGCCATTAAGGGCAGAGTTCAAATGATACAACAAGAATTTGTGTCCCTGATGTTTATAGAAATACCTTTTAATATCATGGTCTGGCTGGCTGATTACATCTGTAATATATGTCTGCAGTGATTAATCGCGGAACGCTTAAATTTGGAGCCAAACGAAGAGTTGAATTTGTTTTGTTTATATTATTGATGGGTATTCTAATATGTTTGAAATTTAGTTCCAAGTACAGCTAATGCTATGCATCTTTTACATAATTTACATAAGTGCTACATAATTGTCATATTTTGTTCTAAAAGCATTCTATACTGTTCATTTCAAATACTTTGTTGTGGACTTATATTTCAGAATGAAAAGAAAGTTCTATTCATGGGATGAATGTATGAATTTGAGAGAAGTCAAGGTAAAACCGTGAGCATACCCCATTTAACAAAATATCTGATTAGGTTTGCATGAAGGAAAAGAGCATCTACTATGTCCAAGCATAAGGCCAAACTCGAGCAGAAATCTTGGAACCAGGGTGACAGGTTCCACAGTCACCATGGGCTGTTGGCACTCCTAGAGCAGCGCCTGAGTTGTGGAATATCCCACCGTCCTCAAGCAGTGGCTATGTCCTGTAGCAAAGCCCCCCTATCTTTGATAGAGGATAATAAAATTGATAACCATCCTATTTTTGTGTTTTACCAGCCTGTTCTTTCATTACTGGTAGCTTGTTAGATGTATATCCAGTCCTCATATCTTGTATTGGGGCTGTTTGTAGAAAGCAGTGGGAGTTTTGGCGAGCCAAGTGAGAGGACCGGGCCTGACACTTGGAAACCTGGACTTAGATTTCAAGTCATCCCGTGTTTCAGGAATCTTATTCTCTGTATACACAAAAGTGCTTGACACACAAAACTGCTTGACACACAAAACTGCCCATCAGATGAGCTGGGTATCCATAATTTAGGTTTAAATTACTGGACGTCGCACATAATCAGCATTTCCAGAAAGAAAGCCTATAAGAGAGAGTCCTTGTTCATGAGAATTTCATGACAAAAAGACCGCATCTTAAAAAACAAACAAGCAAACAAACTAGATTTGCTTACTCAATTCTGTAAGCGAGAGCTATTACAGCTTCAGAACTGTTTTGCATTGTATGGACCTGTACTTTTTTGTGTGTTACTCTTCAACACAACTAGAAACTTTCATAGGTAAAAATTCAGCTCTGGTAAGGAAATTCACTGTCAAATTTTCTAAACCCATATTTTGCTTATTACAGTCTCTGAAGAAGCTGAATCATGCCAATGTAATAAAACTGAAAGAAGTCATCCGAGAAAATGACCACCTTTACTTTGTGTTTGAATACATGAAGGAAAATCTCTATCAGTTAATGAAGGACAGGTATATTTTTTCATAGAACGGATAAGTATGCTATGGTGTTTTACTTTGTAATTTTTATGCTATCTTGAGGAACATGTTGGAACTTCTGTTTTAGGCTCTTTTTGCATCCCCACTGGTGTGAACAGGAGCTGCTGCACCTTCATACTGAGGGTAGTAGTCTGCATTGCTCAATTTGTAATACTTCCGGGAATAATACTTTATTCGGTTGTTATGCAATAAATTGCAAGCCTTTGGTGTGTATTGAGCCGTGAGAGAAATTCCACATACCATTATTTTTAGCCTTCACTTTAATTTTTGAAGGACGTACGGCTTTTGTTCTTGGATTGGGTTTAGAAGGTGAGGGTGGTCACCTGCATGCATGCATACCAGTGAGAAAGACCTATACATGGACTGTCTGGTGTTGCAATCTTGGATAAACTGTACATAGCAAGGTTTGAAAAGTGGACTTTGCTAGAGGATCCGCCTTGTTGTTATACTTTTTTCTTTCCTGAATACTTTTGCTATTAATATTTGTTCCCTTCAGACTTTAGCATGCACCTAATCTCTCAATGGGCAGCACTCCAAGCTTCACCTCTTGTGATAGCTTACTAGCAGTACTAGAACAGTGTCGCCCTACAGCTGAGAGGCATTGCTCTCAAACAGGGTTCCCTTGAGGGTAACACAGCATAGCACATCCACTGCAGTGCTGTGCCATGCAATCTCTTGCTTGCTCTGATACCGTGTGTGCCATGTTCGTCTGGTCAAGCACCCTACAGGCCAGCCAGCTGCATCAACAAATAGGGTCATGGACCTTTCTGCAGAGAAGTCCCTGTGCAGCACAGACAGAGTGAGATTAAGGCCTGGCAGCAAGGCAGTTCTGAGACAAGAGCTAGTTGTGTCTGTCTGTCTTTGTGTTCAAGACTTGGCAGGTCTATTTTCATCTGTGTATGATGTAGGGTGCAAAATGAAGAAAAATAAATGTTTTACCTTATAGGAAGAAATATATTTATACTTTTTTTTTTCATTACATGAAGCTGTTAATCTGTTTCTTCACAGAAACAAGTTGTTCCCTGAGTCAGTCATCAGAAACATTATGTATCAGATATTACAAGGGCTAGCTTTTATCCATAAACACGGTAGGTTTCATAGTAGACTTTAACTGTGTTGCGCTGTTCTAAAAAAAGGGGGTAATGCACAGTAATAACATGTGAATAAAAAAATCTGGCAAAGGCTATTAATTATCTCTAATAAAAATTATTATCTTCTACTTCGAGTATAGTGCCTTTTTAAACTATACCTGAAGTTATACCTTGTTTTTTATACCGTTAGATATTCCCATTTCCTTTCGAAAGCATTACAGTTCAATATTTCAAAAATTCATAGGCTATTTAGCACTTTTTCTACCTCAGATGCCAGATGAATAAACAAACTAAAGAAAACCTGCATGCTGTGCTATACTGTGCATTTCTCTCTATTTCCTAGACAAGGATCTCTTTAAGGAGTATTGATACTTTATGGATGGCAATTTCTCCTATCTAAAGATATTAAAATTAATATGGTGCCATAAGTCTACAAAAATGTTAAAATAATTTGCTTACTAAGTAAATCCAAACAGTCTCCCTATCAAATACAATCTGGATACAAATATGTTAAGACATGGGGCTTTTTCTTGGCAATTTCAAGCACCAACAGCTCATTATAAAGAAGAGGTGCTGTATGCTTACAGCAATGTTTCATAGCATTTACAAAACTTTTAGTTCTCATGTTCAATATCTATCTGTAAACTGCATTCTGAAATACTGATATTAAGCTCCTTCACATTTAAAAAAGTAGCATTTTGCTCTCCTGTTTAACTCATTTATTTTGTACTTGTCTTTCTCATCACATTTTTAATCCCTAAAACTTTCCACAGAGAATAAAATAGTCACTGAGAATGAAGTAAGAAACAATGGTCACAGTGACTTCTGATTAGTTGTCATATGCTGTGGTGAGGCCTGTTAGTGGGTTCACATAAATGACCTGTTCTGTTTTCTAGTATTATCCGATACCCATAAATTGCTATTTCATGTCTTTCTGAGCAAGATCATATACTGTTCTCCGATTATTAGCATCCTCTTTTCCTGCCTTCTTTCTGCATAAAATAGCTGAGAAAATTAGAACTGAGGAAAATCTACCATTTCTGAATTACTGTATTAATATTTTGGTTTGAGCATAGGTATTTGGGAATGACAGGTATGATAAATTTGAAAAATGACATTTTGCTTTAATAATTTCAGCTGATTGCTTACACTGCTTGTCAGTTTCTGCATGCAGTAATGGAATGCTTTGTTGTAGTGAGTGAATTTCAAATTGATTTATAACAAATAGTATATTCCAATTAAACAGCAGAATCGATTTCCTCAGTGATTTAACCTCTAAAAATGATTTTAAAATTAGGAACTCCAGATCAAGCCAACACTAAGCATTAACGAAATTTTATGTTCTTGCATTACTAGTATTAGCATTCAAAGCAGAATTTTGAACTCCTTTAAATGCTTGTATGTACAAATTGCTGTCACAGTGATAAACAAACTAGTTTAAATTATTTAAGGAATTTTATAAACTAGATAGTGGTATCAGATGCTCCCATTTCCTTAATACAAAGCTGATGAAATAGTTGTAGTTTTTGTCAAATATTTCATTCTAAAATTGGTTTGATTGATACTGCTACAACAGCTAATTCATTTTCCTTAGCATGTTAATAACAGTTTTCGTTTTTTAATTTTAAAATACGTGTTAATAATTTTTGGAGGAGAAAATATGTTGTATGTTGTTGTTTTCAAAACGCATTCATTTATTTTGAATAAAAATGGTAAAATAAAAAGTTATATTCTTCCTAAACATCCCAAAGTTAAGTTTTGTATGGTGCCGTTAGAGCTAGCTGTTTAAGGAGTGATAACAGAATTATTTCTCATTCTTTTCTGTCTTATCTTCTGTAGGATTTTTTCATAGAGATATGAAGCCTGAAAACCTTCTATGTATGGGTCCAGAACTTGTGAAAATAGCTGATTTTGGTTTGGCTAGAGAGCTAAGATCTCAGCCACCATATACAGATTATGTTTCTACCAGATGGTAAGTGTATTTTGGAGTTAATATATGATCTTAACTAGTTACCTTTCACTGCTTCCCATTCTGAGCTTACCTATAATTTCTTTCCATTCCCATAGGTACCGTGCTCCTGAAGTTTTGCTAAGATCATCAATTTATAGCTCTCCTATTGATATATGGGCAGTTGGCAGCATAATGGCTGAACTGTACACACTAAGACCTCTTTTCCCAGGGACGAGTGAAGTAGATGAAATCTTCAAAATTTGCCAAGTATTAGGGACTCCAAAGAAGGTAAGACTTTTGGAACACTTCACATAGTTAAAAAATAATAATAATAAGATCAAGTGAAATAAAATGATTGCATAATGTTGAATGTTATCTCAATTTCAGAACATACATATAAATTATTATTTTAGTAAATATCCTGGAGACTTAAAATTTTCTCTTGTACTGGTATTGGACACGCCACGTTCATCTGGTCAAGCACACTACAGGCCAGCCAGCTGCATCTACATAGATGTAGAGTCATGGACCTTTCTGCAGAGAAGTCCTTGTTAAGGTTTTCTCAACAGTATTTATTTTTCTAAACTTCTACTGAGGCATGTAATAGTAGTCTTTTGTTATATATTAGTAGTCTGATCTATATCATACTATTATGTGTAACCTTGCTCTCCTCTGTGATGAAAGCCAGATAAAGTTGTGTGACTTAATTATTTAAAGCCACACATCTTAGGAAAAAGCCCCAAACCTTTCTAGGATTTCATTTGGCACAGCTAATTTGTTTTCCTTTCATGAAACCATAATTCATTTAGGCTGGCACCCAGAATTTAGAGTTTGTAGAAGTTACTATAAGACAAGTTACACTTTTCCAGTTACATGTTTTAAAGCATAAAAGGAACATTTGAGCTTGAACACAAATCTCTCATTATATATTCTTAGCAATAAAAAGTAGTGGAGAAAAATGTGTAGTATTTTATAGAGAAACAGAATTATTTTCAATTATTTCCTGAAAAGCCTAAATACTATTTCAAATTTACAAGGGAGGTTTGGGTATAAAAATATATAAAAATGCATGGCAAGTGCATATAAAAATGCACAGAATTATATTTACTTCCGTTAACAACTTGTTTAAACAAATATATGAACAAGCAAGAAAAGAATTTATTTTACATATCCATTGCTTTCTGTAAGTAAACATCAAGTTTTTTTTCATACCAACTAAACATGCACAGTTCTTTGAATTATGAGTATTAAACGACATTACTTGTGTTGAATAGCTGACTAATTCAGACATGAACTAATCGGAATGCAACAACTATTGGGGCAAACGGAAACACGTGCAGATATGCATACAGACGAGAGCTTCATGAAAGAAGAATTTGAAGGAAAAGCTGAAGAAAGTTTAGAGGAAAATGAACTGCTAGAAAGTGGCTTGAAACAAGTGCAAAACCTATGATTTGAGTTGAAAAAGGCCAAGTAGGAAAGTAAATTTAGAAAGGATACGTACAATTAGGAAAAAAGGAACATGTAAGCAGGGATAGACTTGTCTTAAGTCTTCAAATTAAGGTGCCTGATGAAGCTGTGAAGAGACGGTGAAGAAATTTCAGGAATCAATTGAATTAACGTTGTATAAAGGATAAAAGACAGAAAATGATTTTACCTTCAAACTTCTGTGTAAATGCAAGAAAGATCACATAATACGATTTTTTTTTTTAGATAAGAAATTATAGTAGCTAAGGTAAGAGCTGGCAGATTTGGATCCTCATTTCATCTGTGGGAGCAAACAGAACTTTGGGAAATAATTGGCTGAGCGCTGAGAGACTCTAGATCTTGGAAAAAATAAGGGGTGGGAGGACACGAATTTTATTGGTGTTGTACCAATATAAGATAAAGCGTAATCCTTGTCCAGTAAAGAAGCTGTTAGCAACAGAAGCACAAGGAACAGAAAAACTGAAACAGAAATAGAATAAGGTTAGCTAGGAACATGCAGAGCTTGAAGTGGTGGGAGGACATCCAAGAGACGATACTGAGAAACAGGTGCAAATTCATAACGGAGCAGAGAATGAAAGGTCAGGGGTTGGGAGTTATATATGATATGTTGTGGAAGTGGAAATCGAATCTGGAGGATTAAGTGAAAAGTGTTATGCATAAAGTAGTGCTTTCTATGACAATTGTGAATTAAAAATAATGAGTGATATGTGGCATTATTTTAAGACTTGAATTTTCAAAGCCTGCTGTTAAAAGATGCTTTCCTTAAGCAGCTCACAAGTCTAGCATAAGGCAAAGAATGTTTTGATAGATATTAACTATACTTGTGAAAGAAAACAGCATTCTAGCTTCTGGAACATTTTCAGTGTATAGCACAAGCTCTGGGAGCAAAAGGAGATTAGAAGGAGAATTTCTAAACATGTGGCACAGGGATGTTGAGCATCAGCTGGTGTGGTTTTTTGGTAGCCCTAGTGGTTGTAAAGAGGCAAATCAAGACTGTTTACATTCTACCACTCCCTGACTAGCAAGCTCAGTGCTTGGTAAAGGAGGGGTGCATTATGAGCTAATATTTCAGAGAAAATTGTAGCCTCTTCTAACCCCTTAGGGGTTAGAGTCCCTGTAAATTAGCCCTAGGATCAGGAAGCAGTAATTAGGTCCTTTGTGCTCTGTCATCTGCTGAGCAGACTTGGGAATTTTATCTCCTTATGACAATGCTAAGGCATTCTTCAGGGAGATCGCTGCCTAAGAAGAATACTTAAATTTTATGATAGAAATTACCACAACAAATAATGCATTTGTTACCGGTGAAGTATTTTTCTGCATCCTTAAAAAACCACAAGCAATTATGTTATAAGACCATGTCTGCAGATAAAGTTTCACAAATTGTATGTTGTTGAAATGCACGTTTTTATTCATTCCATGTATTGTAATAAGTAAGTATAGGAGTTATGCCCAGAAGATGTCTTAATTACAGTTTACCTTCCTGTTAGTTGTCCAAGTCTGTAATACCATACCATATTAATGACTTTGTGTGTTGGTTTTTCCAATGATTATTGTGGCAAGCAACTATTTTAAGTCGTGGCTTATAACATTGCTACAGATACATTTCTGTTACCTTATTCAAGAACTGGCATTGGAGGTGCACTAAGAATATGCTAATTTAATGAAAAAGCTAATGACGGTCTGAAAAGGAGAGTTTAATGAAATGGATTTTCATTAACTGAAGGTTGGCAGTGGTGAAATGATTCCTTTTTATTTATTTTTTTTTTTTTTGAGAAATTGAAATGCATTCTTCATTTTTCAGTTACTCTGCTTTCACTCTGTCCCTATACTTCACTAGTTCAACACTCAGCTCTTGCTTCTCAGGTCTAAATTGTTTCTTCACCCTTATCTCTGGCAGACAAAATGTCACCAGCTCCAGTAACAGAGGAAGAGGCAGCAGAGAGGGACAGAGTCTACCTTTGGTCATTTAAATGAACAAATTATTCTCTGTGGTGGAATAGCAAGTCACCTGAAATCTTGAGACTTTTTTGTTTTAATCAGACTCGGTTTATAGCTATAATCTGGCTCTGCGATTGCCATAGATTGCATTAACAGAGCTAAAATTGTAAGCTGTTAAAGCACATAACATGAGTAATGGCAACATGATGTGTTAAGACCTGTCAAATCAAACTTACTCCTTTAGTAGTGTAACAAACTTTGTGGATGGAGGAGAAGCAATATAATACACTGACTTAAGGCTTCTGATGCTGGCCCTCATAGCATTGTCATCGGCATATTAATATGGACAAACTGTAAGATGGGTGCATAACCATTTGGAAAACGTTACTCAGAGAATAAGTCTCCATGGTTCAATAACTCTGTCATTCTGAGTGTTAATAGGACTCAGAGTGGTTCTGGATCCGATATAAATTGTTGATAGTACTAAAGACCTTCTGATTGATAGAATAGATTTTACTTGTTAAATTGGCAAATAGCAGGCTGAGAAGAACTGAGTAGGTTAGAAGAGAGGATTAAAATGTAGAATTTCTTACAATATTAGTGATGTAGCTTTTAAAAAAATCTTTAGCAGTATGTAGAGTGCTATATTTAGGCAAGAGTAATCAGCTGCATAAATATCTGGGGATAACTATCCAGTAACACTTTTACAGAAAAGGATGTAGGAGCTGTAGTACACTGCACACTGACAATGTTTTGTTGCAAGAAAGACAAATGCTATACCAGTAGGTAAGAAACAGGAGTACAGTCCACTGACATATGAACTAATCTTTCTTGTCCATTTGCGTCATTGTGTCCAGTTATAAGTTTTGCTTTCAAGAAAGAAAAATTGGAGTCCAAAAAAGAGCAAATACTTAAAAAGTCATGACCCAGAAATTGAATTGTTTGGGCTTCTTTAGCTTATACAAAGGAAGACTGGAGAAAAGGAGAAGAAATGCATCTTCTAATGCATAAAAAGACTGCTCTAGAGAGAAAAGAAATAGTTCTTCTCAGCATCTATGGATGATATGACACTTTGCAATGGTCGTGTATTGCTACAAGGAAGATTTATATTTTCTAAACACAAGATGAATTAAGCTCTGGAATGGACTGTTTAGGTGGGTCATGGAATGGCACGACAGGGAGATTTTTTTGAAACAAATACCAGTCAGAAAGGGACAAGGGCACGGACTAGATGATCTCTTGAGTTCTTTCCTAACACTACAGTTTTATATCCAGCTAATGCAATTAGCAAGCAACTCAGGGTTTCGTGCTTTTTTTCTTGAAAGTTAGATGCATTAAAAAAGAAGTTTTTATCTGGTGGTCATGTTTTTTTCCTGTTGCAGTAGTGTCTAGCTGTGTTTTAATCACTGAATTTCTTAATGGTGAAATCAGAGGTACGTGATATAGGCTGCATCATGTTTATCCTAACATGGTGTACTGGATGGAAAAGCCTCACCTCTGGTATTCCCATAAAGGACATACATTGAAGTCAGCTGTTTGAGGTTATTTCAGTGGTATGTGTTCCTGCTCCTGGTAGTGCTGCACTTTCTCCTCCTTCAGATAGAATATGTTTAAGTGCAGTATCCACATTGACAGTTGCACCCTTACCTACAGGAGAGCTTGAGGAGGGCTGCTACTGGAGACTGATGCTGCATTCATGGGTGTCATAGCAATTGCAATGAAAAACAGGAGTGTCTGATGTTCACTATTGAGGAAGGAGCTACACAAACCAAGCATGACTCAGGTTCCAGAAGATTTGATTTGATCTAATACCTCAAAGATATATAGTCTTAGGTTTGGGGGTTTTTTTTCTTATTGTTTTGGGGTTTTTTGGGTACTAATTTTTCTTTCCTTTTAAACAGAGTGACTGGCCAGAAGGATATCACCTTGCTTCCGCCATGAATTTCCGCTTCCCACAATGTGTACCTATAAACCTAAAAACTCTCATCCCAAACGCAAGCAGTGAAGCAATACAGCTTATGAGTGATATGCTGAGCTGGAATCCAAAGAAAAGACCTACAGCAAGTCAGGTCCGAGCCCCTGAGTGATTAAGTATAAGACAGAATTGTCTTGCATTGTTAAAATATTTTAGATTCAGAAAGAAATTGATTTTCACAGTACTGAAGGTCAGAGAAAAGTCTTTGCATTTTGAAGACCTGCGTAGGAATGAGAATAAACAGTGAGGAGCAAATGTTCTAAATGTAGCTTAGTTGACATAATAAGCTCTTAAGTTATTTCTACAATGTTGTCTTCTGTACTAGCATGTACTGAAACTATCTCTGTACAGGTTAGATTAAAAACTGAGCTACAAGTTTCCTGAATTGTTACTGTAAGTCACTTCTGCATGCTTCATTTTCCTCCCTTTCTGCAAGGGGGATATTTAAAATTAAACTTTCTTTTTGTAAAGCTGCAAGAACTTCTATTGCTAAAGTCACTGAGGTCTAACTGTAGTCTAATATTATAGATCTGTACACAGGATGCCACATGGCCTTTTATGAAAGCAAATAATCAGGTTTTGCTCAAGTGAGTTGTCAAGGAAGCAGCTGCAGCAGTTGTGGGGTTCATAGCCAAAAGGGAGAGTTTAATGCACGTTCATGGAAATATGTACAAAGGCAGCAACTCTCAAGTGCAGCTGAAGTGAAAAATCTCTTTTAGAACCCTATTAAAGAGTAGGATTCTACCATGAAAGAGTAGCATAGTGTATTACGAGGATATAGGAAGAGTTAATGCATTAGTACAGTATGTGCATATTGTGCATCTAGTGGTGGATATGAAAAGGTCAGACAAAAAAATGAAATACGCATTGGCAAGAAAATGAACACTATAGTTTCCTAATAAACACTATGAAGGCACAGCAAACAGTGAATATGCTTCAAAGCCTGTTAAACAAAAATAGAGAAAGTTGATAATAAGAAAATGAAGAAGAAATTTTAATCATTAACATATTCTAATTGCAAAACCCACACATTAATATTCGATAGCAACTATCACACTTCTATTAAAAAAAAAAACAGGCTGTTCATTGAGTAGCAGGGAAGTATCAGGAGTTAACAAAGGAAAGTACTGGAAATATGCAATAAACTACTGAGGATTTAATATTGTAGTGGCAATTGCAAGTTTGGAGGAAAATATGTTACTACATGAATGTAGAAATCCTCTTTAATTTAGTAAACTGTTTGTTTATGCTAAATATTTCTAGATTGGCTAGTTCCATAATATATAAGCATCAGCTGTTAAGTATGCATCCCAAAAATCAGACCCCACAAAACCTAGAAGCAGAGGAGGAAAAAAGGGCATAACCGCTCTAACTTGTACAGGTGAATTCATCTTACTGAATTATATGCTGAGAAGAGCTTAAAATACAGAACTGGCAGCTTTCTGTAAATACTGTTTACATATGATCTCATTATGCATGCATCTTGCATCTCTGCTATGGAGCTTCCTCAAACACTTCAAAAACCTGCTTAGATCCTTGATGTGGTTACTGAAATTAACTTTCTGAAGTATAATTAGTATGTTATATCTTCTTTTCCAGGCTTTGAAGTACCCTTACTTTCAAGTTGGGCAAGTCCTAGGTCCTCCTTCACAATATCTGGAGAAGCAGACTCCTCTTAAACCAGTTCAGCCAACAGAGCCAAAGCCAACTCTATCCAAACTGGAAGCTGTAGCCAAGCTAGAACCTCTGTCTTCACCTGATGCATCTGACAAAACACAGCCACAGTCCCTGCCAAAGGTTGACCACGTGCCTCTCCAGCAAATTCAGTTGCCTCAGAATACAGCTAACCAGCAAATATCAAAACAGCAGCAGCCACAGGCACAACCGTTTTTGCCAACTCTAAGTAAAAACTTATCACCAGTAAGTTGTTTTCAGTAATAACTAATTTAGACAGGTGGTTCTGTTACAAGCTCTTACTATATACAACCAGTAGATCCTCTGAAAATTGTCATATACCTTATTAGAGGAATTACAAATAGATAATTAGGGATTAGGAGTATAACTAGCCATTATTAAAATTTTAAAGCACATCAGAAGAATAGATTGCTTGTAACAGCAATGTGTATGTATTTATAATACCCTATATAGTACCTATACTGACATATACAGTAACATAGTTACAACAGCTATCACTCATTAACCTTTGAGAAACAATTCACAAAATACTGTTAGTATACATTAAAAAATGGAAAGCTAGAAATTCCTTTGCCTCGTGCAAAAAGGTACCTGAGAAAGCTTAGAGGTTTTTTTTAGAACATTAGTTCTCTCACTACCACCTATTGGCTATTGGTAAATAGCTGCAAAGTGAAGAGCACCTGTAGATCACATGGAACTCACCACTTCCTTTAAATTCCTAAACTTTGTCAGAATTTAAAAATAAGATTTTTTGCAAGAGGCCTATTAAACTTTGGTTTGAAATCTTATGAGTATCTAAAATGATTTTTAAAATAAATATAGAAAGGTGCCCTTCATTTGACTTTCCACTTATACTTACTGAACGACAATGTTAAGTTTGTTAAAAATAACAGATATTCAGAAAATACTGGAAAGCAAATACAGTCAGGTGAAAGGATAGCTTTATAATCTAATCGTTTGTTTGGCAGAGAATGTTAAGGAAAGGCTTAACTGACTTCTGAAAGATGTATCTACTTTGGGGCCATGGCAATCGGCACTCCAAACCCTGAGCGTGATTGCCGTGAAGGGTCTGCACTGCTTTACCCTACTCCTGACAGTTCATATTCCACAGTCAAGAACACAGGTTCTGTAGGATACCAGCAGTAGACCCCGAGGGCTAAATTGGGCCTGCAAATAGAACATTAACTCCACTAGTTTTCAGATAGAGTGAGGCTATTTAAGATTGACAATCCAACTGAGCTACACTCAAATTACCTCTCCATGTTGTTGTATGTTTTGCATCTAAAATCATTCTGAGACTCACACCAAAATAGGCGCAAAACACAAGTGGAAAGTTCTCTAAGTTCTTCAAGTATATTCAGGAAGCAAGCTAGATGCAAAATATGAAGTTTGAGAATTGAATTGAAGCTTTTTTTTCCTTATTTAAACTAGAAACAAGCAGCTACTGGCCCTCAGAATGTTGCAGTAGGTCTTAAAAGCTGCAGGAGACGATGGGGTCAGACTTTGGTAAAGGCTGTGGACAGCTGGGATGACTTGGATGATGCTGAATTTGGAATGTCATATTCAAAGAAGCCAAGCATTGCACTGTTAAAAGAAAAGAAAAACAAGGAATGTCTTTTTAGGTAAGTCCTATAATTATAAAATCACAATTTGCATGGTTCACAGTGTCCAATAGATGTATGCATTGATGAAACAAATCTAAAATTTAAGTCACTGAAGCTCTGCAAGGATGCAAATACGTATGTAAGCAGACCAAATTTGGGCGTGGTGATGATATAACAACAGTAATATCCAAGCTGAATCAAATTTATTTTCAGGCATTTAAGGTATGGATGTTTGTCTTGTTTTTAAGCAACCTGTGTGTTTTGCTGAAGCTAAGTTAATGTCATTTCCCCTGTCATCTAAGTTGGGAAAAGTTTTGCAAAACTTATCCATGTTTGCCTTTACAAATGCCTACCACATTTTTTCCAGGGGAATCTCACTTATTCTGAACTTGTTCACAGCACGAGGAAATGAAGAAGGGTGGCATATGCTGCCTCTCATGTACCACTCTGATTATGTAGTTTTGTCTGCTTTAATTTTTTTTCATTGATTTTTGAAAAAAAAATTTCTAAATATAAACAAACATTCTTTCTTTACGAGATTGAATGAGATTTCATGGAAGGATAACTGTTCAGAATGCCTTCCCCCCTTCTTTTTTTGAGGAATGATCTCACAGTTGCTTTTTTTAATTCTTCTGCCTAATCTTCTCTTCCCACTTTTTTCATTTGATAAAAAGACTTCTTACTGTGATGTGACTTCCTAGTTTGCATATATGGTTGCATTATTGCTTTTTTTTTTAAAAAAGTTTAGTTACTTTTAATAAAAAGTTTGATTTAAAGTCAAATTCTCCATTCATATACACAGTTCCACTTTCACTGATTTCAGTAACTACCTCAATGAGATACAGTCCTGCTTTTTCATAGAATTTTCATAAATTAAAATACATATCAATTTTTCTCTGTTTCCTATTAACTGAGGAAGCATATAGGATATCTGAATCGAGGGAGAATCATTCTGCAGACTTTCCCCTAGTATGGCACTTTTTCACCTGTAAAGCAATTACTCTCTTCTGTACTTCCTAAAGTAGCACTGCAAACATTATTAATCAGTGGATATATTTTTGTATATTTCATTTTGTTATTAGCAACACTTTCTGTATGAATTGAATTAAACATTCAAAGAACACCATGATCAGTCATTAAATAGTGTTGGAAACTTTTTTTTTTTTCTTTCTTTAAGGCCCAGTCAAACTCTGATGACATGGGAGATTTGGCTGTTACGTTATTCTGCTGATGAAGGCAGAATGAGAGGAGAGCACTGTACTCTTCAGGCTAGTGTCAGCTTGTGGTATTCTGAGCTGAAGTTTTTGGTTACGTTATATGAACATTTTGATTTTTCAGTGTGCCAGATCCAAAGGCTTCATGCTGTATCCAGTCAGGAGATGAAAATAAGGTTCCAGTGCGAAATGATTCTGGAATATCAAATACATCAGCAAAACAGTACTATCTGAGACAATCAAGATATCTACCTGGTAAGATGGAAAGTATGTTAAGGAAAACACAAGCCGTGAACAATCTACATGCAGTACAGTTAAACTTTAGATTTCACACTGGATAATTTTTCTTTTCATAACCCGGCTAATCTTTCAAGTGTTAGGTTAAATGTTTTCCAGGACCATACCTCACCACAACTGAGACAGAAGGTCTGATACTATGTAGAGGTGAAAGAGAGCTCAGCACTGCTTGTACAGCATAATAGTTCACAGGTGCTCCTATGACCACTAGCATATAAAACACTCAGTGATATGAATCTAAGATCTCTTGGACACCTACGAGTATATCCTTATTGACCATTAGCAAGGTTATCTGAGGACTGAGGAAACTACGTATAGCACACAGTTCTCAGTTTTGCAATATCAGGAGGCTTAGGGTTCTTTGGACTTAAAGTTCTGAAAAGCACAGTTGCTCTTCTTGGTAGGAAGTGTTTAAAACATCGTACACTCACACTGGTAGGAATTCACACACACATTCTGTCTTCTTCAGAAGACAGTCATTTTCCTTAGGAATAAATAAATAGCTTAGTCTAAATCTGAGTGATTTAGTGAGTTACATAACATGATAGGAACAAGAATGGAAAGAGGGAGAAAGAAAAGGGACCATATACTTCAGTTAGTTTTCTGAATATACTCTGTAACAAAATGATTTTCTTGGTGCCTTACTTACTATCTTTTCTCTATTACTGTGGTGATTTGCACAATTGCAGTAATTGTATTACGACTTCTACTGTAATGCACATATAAGAACTTAGCCGGCTCGCAGAGGAACTCCTGATTGCCAGGCAAGATGTTTTGTTGCACATTTCACAGAATGTATCACTAATTTCCCAGGAATTCATTAGGCCGGACATAACTTTTGAATAAAGGCACTTCTTGAATGTCAGATAGGATACTCGGAGACTCAAGAGTTTAAGTCTACAAAAAATATTTCTCCATCTAAAGACAACACAGACAGAAAGTTAATCTATTTCTTATCTTTTCTTTAAAAACTTACTTCTAACACTTCTCTCTTTTTAGTATTTTTTTTTCAATGAGAATGGCATAGTTGTCATTGAAAAATAAATTGAAAAATAATTAACATCAGCATTTAAACCAATAATAGCTCCAAGGAGCATATGTGTTGTTTATCAGTATTACTCTTAGTTCTGTCACCACTAGATCTGGGAGCTGCTTTCAAGCTGTGTAATCCCATTAACTCTTTTAATCCTCTTAACAACTGAAGTGAAAATAACTCCTTGTCCTACTTCTAAACTTATCTGTTGAAGAAATAGTTTATTTTCAACTTTGAGAAGCCCAGTTTTTGATATGTATATTTAATGTGTATTAACTGTTTGAAAGTCACAATATCAATGAGGTTATGGTTTTGTGGAAACCAAGTGACTATACTAAATAGATTTTAAAAACTGTTGTCTTAAAACCTGAAAAAATTGTTTTTAAATAAATGTCTCCTTTTTCATGGCTCAGTTGTGCAATCTAATCTAATCAGTGGGCATTGTTTTGTGACTCACATTAATGGTGTTTACATTACACCAGGAATAATTCAGTGTTGTTTTACTGTTTTAGAAATGTCCATTTTTCATTGTTTAAATTGTTATGCTTGGAGATTGATTTTTACAGTATTTGACATAATTTATTTTTTAAGGTGTAAACCCTAAGAGCGTCTCTTTAGTAGCAGCAAGTAAAGAAGGATCTCATGGAGCTTGGAACAACCACTTCTTTTCTAAACCACTAGGACATATTGGAGGAGGACTGTCTTTCAACAAAAATACAGGTAAAGGTGTAATTAAAAGCAGTCACATTGTATCACATCATATTTTATGCAATTAATTTAGTTAAGGCCTTCTAGTTTAACTTCTACTATCTTAGGCTTATCTTCTGTGCCTCCTTTCCCCTTTTCCCCCGCTATTTTCATCACATACTCTTAAACTGACAACATTTTTCAAATGTAACCTACTTGTTTTGCTTCCAGAGCATAAAGGAAGCACAGACTAGTTCGTATTATAAAGCTCTGTCAAGACAGGTTTTGTCTGTAAATCTCTTAGACCCATTGTCATACCCCATTAATCTAAGCAACTAGTTTGACCTCACTACTGCTTGATCAGTGTGACGTGGGACACTAAAACAGCAGTCCCACATATGAAAACAAGATATTGGGTGATGAGCTCATATGATGAAATTATTGCCTAATATCCTAAACATGTCTTTTAACAATCTACAAACCTTGTCTCAAATACTTTGCTGCATGAAAAGTTCCATTATTTTCAGCAAGGGGCTTGCAATAAGGTGCCTTTCAGTACTACTTTGTTGTATTATTGCAATTTTATAGGGTTAAAACTGAGACTTAAGCAAGTCAAGTAACTTACTTAAGGAGTTTACAGTAAGCAAACATCAGACTTACAACTAAAAAAGCCTTATCTTCTGTCCACCAAACTTTATATTCTACACAGTCCTATCCCGCTGGAATGGGAAGTTACCTAATTAACAACTTAGGACCCATTGCACAGCTGGCACAAATCACTCCTAATGCATTAATGCCAACAAAGCACCTAGCCTAACATGCTTGCACAAGACAAACTCTAGGAGGCTTGCTTACATGCAGATATTACACCCCTTTTTAACAGAACTTTAGTGGCCACTCTGCACTGTCATCGAACCTGTTTTTCCCAGTGAGGTATGAGTTGCTTATCTGAAATTATGCAAAAGAAATTGGGAAGTAGAAAAATTACAGTACCTACCAGAATTCTGATGGAATTGAAGAGGCTTACGTGGTCATTGTATGTACCTCTTTAGTTTCAGAAATATATAGTGTCTGCATGTTTCAGAAATAATTAATTTATTCATAAAATACTCTTGCAAAGGAATGAGGCTCAAAAAGGTAAAGGGCTCAGTTCCCAAATGTACATATCAAGAAGCTAGGCATCTACCTACTGAATTGGACTGAAAAGAAAATCATCTGAGTTCTGTTAGTCAAAAATCCTGCTTTTGTACACAATGGCTTACTTGGGCTATCTGCTAAAAAGTTTAAAGAAAAACAACCCAAAACTGAGTATTTTGTATGTCTGAAAATACTTAGTGTTATTTCTACCAGTATCTTAAACTGGATGTTCTGATCTTTCATGTAATGGGGAGGCAACAAAGTTTGAGACAGATGAATGCAAATGCAAGATAATTGGGGCACAAATCAGGGAAATGCAGCACATGTAAACTATACGTATTCATTTTTCATATTAATTGGATTGAAAGTTGACGCTGCTATTTACAGCTTATGTAACTAAATTTGGTTTCTTTAAGTGCCTGCATTTTTTTCCTTATCCACAACATTGTCCTAAGATGAAATAAGTTAACAACGAATACTTTCAAATGCTTTCTTTATAAAGAATTACAAGGTTATGATCAGTCAACTTGGCAGATATGCCTGAGTGCTCAAACTTGTGTGATTTATGTATTCATGTGACTACAGTGTGACTGCATTGTTGGAAAAATACATTTTGATTTCGTTATTAGAAAGGACCTTGTAAAGTAACAAGTTAGAGAATAACATCTCCTGCTTGAGAAAACATAGGAGTGAAATTCTTGCTTTGTTTTTCCTCATTTCTTTTACATCACCTAGCCAGGTTCTTCACCCAGTTTTTCTAAAGTACTATCTTTCCATCTTTTTCTTCCTTTCATCTTCCTTCTCTACAGAAGAGAATTTAATTATACCAATTGAAAAGTTATCATGCAAAGAAAGGCTGAATGAAAAATTAGAGGATCCAAAAGGTAATTTATAGCCATTTTAGCTTGGTTCTTTGCACATTTCATAGTTATGTTTCACATTTTCTTGTAAAAATTGCAATTGTAATGAAGATTCCAAAAGGGTACATCATTTTCAGCTATAATACTATTTTGTCAAACCTTACTCTTTTTATTGTGACTGCTTTAGACCAAGACCCTCTGGGCTGAGTGAGTTAAGACAGAGGTCTACTTACCAATGAGTTACGCTTTAACAGTTCTCTTTCAGTGAAATGAAGAAGCAGGGAAAGAGATTAGGTCAATCTTACTTATCTCAGTGTAAAGCAGCATGGAAAATTGGTTCCACTGCGAATTTTATTCTTTGGATTGTCAGCTAGATGAACTCAAGTAAAACAAATACGTGTATTTAAGGACTCCTTTATTTTTCTTTTTATACTGACAAAACTGGAATGCACTTTTCTGTCTGTGTTGAAACCAAATAGGATCAGTTGTTGATTCTGGCCTTTTAAAGGAGATGGGATCTTCACCATTAACTTCACTGAGCAGAGAATTAAACTGTTAGTGAAGAGGTGCTCTTACGGCAAAGGAGGAGGAGTCATTCCCCTCATATGCAGACCAACTTGAGGACTATCCTAAATTACGCCATTGCACTCTCTTTGAAATGTGAGAGAAGAAATTGAATTATTAAATTCCTTCTAAAGAATATCTGAGTGTTGCAGTAACTGACTAACTTTTGTTCTGAACCCTTGGCACTTGTTCTGTTTTAAAGGCAGAGAATATTTTATTATCCTAATTATGAGCCACAGCATGTAACTGCACTGTTACTGGATAATGCTGAAGAACTGATTCTAAAGGAGAAACGTATGCATCTCTGCTGAAGGACTGTTTGTTCACAATAGCATTTGTGACTTGCACTATTGATTGAATTCTGATTCTCCATCTATTACACTGATTTCACAGTGCTGTGATTGCATTGATTTCCATGGAGTTATAGAGTAACAGGGTAGAAAATCAGGTTTCCAGGTAGCCTAGTTTGTATCTAAACATACTGTTCACTGCAAGCATTGTAAAGCTGCTGGAATGTTTCACCTCTCCCACAGTTTCTGGCACCTCAGGTACATACTGCCCTTGTGATATACCTCATTGCAACCGTTCATTGTTTTTTCTTAACTGGCTGCTCACCTCAAATGATTCAATAACTTCATCCTTTATGAAGAATCAGGTGTGCGTTGTGCAAGGCAGGGGCTACTGCCTAAACTAAATTTATGCTTGCTGACATCATGGCTGTTAGTATCTGTCTGTACAACTGCTGCCAGACCACCTGGATGCCTGATGGGTATTCTTGTGAGAACCCCTTCTTTTGTACAGCAGTGGTCAGAGGTAAGAAATGATTTATGGCTTTCTCTGCAATAGATTTTTGATTTTTGTTTGGAGTTGTTCTTCTGTTTTGTATTAAAATGCTTTTTTTTTTTCCTCCCTTGTTCCCATCCAGCAAAAGGATCACTCCTTCAGTTTCTCCCAGACTGTTCCTCCTGGCTGCCCTCTTCAATTTCCTGCAGAAGGGCTTGTAAAGAACACTGGACGTTGACAGGTAAGGGAAGACAAAAGATGGCTGAGCCATTTTTGAGAGGCAGCTTTGCTGAATTGTAGATAAGAAGCAGGCAGAAGAAGTCTTTTTGACGTTGTATTAATAGAGGCCTGTCATGTTTTTATTCTCAGACCTCAGGATTGTAAGGAATATTGCTGAGCTGTCAAAGGACACCGATGGACCACTCCCAGTGAAATAATTAGGTATAATAATTGGGAGGGAAGAGGAGAATGTATGTGTGTGCGTGTACATGCACAGGCAGGTGAATGAACGACTAAAACTGTATTGTTTTGGTTTTTCAGGCACATTTCTGAAAAGGAAGAAAAACAAAAGATTAAGAAGTTACCTTTTATTGGAATGCTTCATTAAAGCTTTATTTTTCGTTGCGACTTTTGTATCATTCTTTATTGTATGGGGAACTGGTGTCAAATCCGATACAGGGAAGCCAAATACAAACTCAGCTGTTCTCAGGGTTGATACAAGTGGCAGTCTGGGGAGACTGGCAAAACTGAGTTCAGCTGAACACTTTTTGTTAATGCTTCTGAACAGGGAGGATATAGTATGACCCAACAGAGCTGTAATGAGCTGAGGAATCATTTGGGGTTCGTAGAGAACCAATTTTACAGCTTATAGATCCACTGCTTTGAGCTCTGAAATTATCATGAGGGAGAGGGTGTGAATGTTTGCATGAAGAGGAGCATTTTAGGATTTCACTGAAGCCACAGATTTAGGAAATAGAGAAGCTTTGTCAAATCAGATATGACAGAGCTACCATTGAAACCATCCTGAATATTATTGTGATAAAAATGCTCTACTTGCTGTAGGTCAAAATAAAACAGTTGTGTATGGACTCGTAGTTCACAAGTTTAATAATACTGAATGTGGAATCACACCAGAGAAAACAGATTTCCTCTGGCCATTGCGCCAGCATACACAGTCCAGCACTGTCCCAATAATGACTGACATGGAGAGGATGAGAAATTTGCTTGGAGCAGGGATGGTCTGAATATTGTAGAAGAACCCTCTGTCATTTAACTATAATTTCAGTGCTAATTTTGTGTGTAAATATAGGATGTTTCTTGACTTCTAAATAGGGGGGATTATGCTGACATGCCCAAGGTAGCACTGCTGTAAATAAAAATCTGGACCAAAACCAGGTACAGTAAAATTGTACACATAGTTGAAGAGAGAGGGGATCTGGTTCTGACTTTCAAACCAGGTGTTTAATTGTGGACTGGCAAAGTTAACTTCAAGTGGTCCACCACTTACATTGGAGGAGTTTAGACCTATTTTTAGATAGATGTAGGCCCAAAATGTGGAGTATAAGAGTACTATTGACTGCTGATTTTTGAATATTGAAGCACTTAGTCCAGCGTCTAGTCAAAAAAGTATCTACAAGTGAAAACTTGAGGAAAATCTTCTTTACTCTGAGGGTGACTGAGCACTGGACCAGGTTGCCCAGAGAGGTTGCGGAAGTCTCCTTCTCTGGAGATATTCAAAACCCACCTGGACATGATCCTGTGCAATGTGCTCTAAGTGACCTTGCGTGAGCAGGGGGGTTGGACTAGATGATCTCCAGAGGTCCCTTCCAACCTCAACCATTCTGTGATGCTGTGTAAAACATAAAGATATTGCTTTCTCTAAAACTCAGCGTAAACCTTTTTATAAGGTCTGAGCTCAATGAAAGTACTCGTGAAATGTTTTTTTTCTGCTTTGCTTTCTTTACTCCTTCTAATTTGCAGCATCAGACGTACTGGAGCATACACTTAGAGGCTTTGTTAGGTGCTTTAAAGGGTCCAACTAACATACAAAGCGAAGAATGAATATACGCTTCTTCTCAACAGATAACAGCTGGAATTTTTGAAGAACACTCCTACTTAGTAGTCTTGTGGTACCGTAAATATGTTTTTAAAGTGACTATAAAAAACAGGCAAGGTTTTCTGAGTGCAGCTGAAAATATTTAAACTCTGTAACATCAACAGGAAATCCTGGCTTTGTAGGAGGTGCAGCTTACAACACACCAGGAGGATATAGCCCTTCTTTTCATAAAAAAGAAGTTGGATCAGCTGGACAACGGATGCAGCTAGCCCCTTTTGGTGCATCTGCCTCAGGTAAGAAACATCCCTTTACCTGTCATGCACATCTGAAGCAAAGAGAGGTGTTCATTTCCCATGCTTCCAAAGAGATTTATTAGTCTTTAGTGAGGTTTTCCTCAAGCTTTGTAAGAAGTTATGTCTGAGACTTTTATATAACATAAGTGAATTGAACACAGGTATCTAGAGGCAATCCTCATACCCAAAGAAGCTATTGTTACTATTGTTAGGTAGAAGAAAACAAAGGTGGAAACCTTTTGTTATTCTAGAAGGTTTGGACTGTTTACTAAACTGGTTTTGATTAGCCAAGGGCTAAACAGAGTTGTAGAACTATATAACTCCACAATTATTTGATAGTAAACGGACATATAGAATTTACACAAATACAAATGCTTGATTTATGTAGCCAGTAAGAACTGGTAGTCACCAGTTATAAATATGCAACTAGATAATTCATGTTAGCAAAAACATCTTGTCGTTCAGTAGATTTGGAGGAACTTTCTTGACAGTAACTGCTGTGGCATGGAGCTGTCCTGTTTTGTGAGGCCATGTTAAACGTAAATAAAGCATCAGGCAGAAATCTTACTGCTATATATGGGTCCATCATCAGTATAATCTCACCTAATACAAAGGAATGATACTGATCCATGCTAACAGCAGCCCCAACAATGTCAAAAAAGGCAAAGACCTTCCTCAAGTGACCTAGTAATTTTACAAATAACCTATAAGCAGTAAATTAAAATGCATTGCTTTCTTATTTAATGGCCCCATCTGGTCTACAGCTTCTGTTGCGGTCGTGTAAGATGGGTTTTCATTGTGTCTTCATCTCACTGTGTTGGCTATGCAAGTCTGTGGATACTAAGATGACATAACTCGTCCATCCTTTAAATGTCACAAGAGAGTGTTTTATGAAGTGAAAGTTTCAAAGTTGCTACATTCTCCTTTGGATTTTATTTTCTATAAGGTAAATGACCAATTCTGAATAGTTACAGTAATGGCATAGCTGAGCATTGCATTAAAAAAAAAAAATCTTGTTTCCTTTATCAGTTGAAAGGAATCTGAAATCTATTTGAAAGTAACTGTTACCTTCTATCCTCTAAGATATGTATATTCTGAGCACCTTCTTTATTGATTCATTTCTGATCCAGAGATGAACAAAAGTGCTCAGGTTGCAGGAGAAACTGGTTTGTGAGTAAACCTTCCAAGAACATTTGTCTAGTTATTTCAGAGGATATAGTAAGGCCCTAAACTGTGAATTGCTTAATTAAGTGGCCTACGGCAGACCAGTCTGTTATGGTCCTGCTTAAGAACGTTGCTTATTTTGCTGACTTGCTATTTTCCGTTGTCTGCTCCCTCTCAAGCATCTTGCAAGTGACTGATGAGGAGAGGGGGAAGGAACAAAGAAGGCAGCACACTTACTAAAAATATGCATAACTGAAAGTATGCATATACTGAATCTGGGCTGATCAGACACCCACCAGGGAAGGCTGGAGCTGCGCTTCATTATGTTATCGATTCATTGCTGAAACAGCAGTGAGAGTTTTGATTTGTCAGTGTGTAGATCAAGAAGTTCACAGAAGGACAAAATTTGCAGCTACCCTTAGACTACTGTGAATAGTGAGAATGAAAAGAAATGATTGTGATCCAAAAGGAAGTAAATTCATTGTGAATCTGTAATTAGAAATGAGAAATCTGTAGTAAATGTCAGAAAGGCTGGCAGATGGAAGTCAATTAAGAGACTATTTCGTGTCCTAGAGAAGAGGAAGAATCCTATTGCTTAAACCCCTCATACTGAGACTAAAAACTGCAGATTTGCATGGGTAGAGAGATAAAGATGAAGTAAACAGCAGGTTTTATCTGTCATTATTTGAATATTAACATTTTTGGTGACCCTTGCTTTCTATTATCTAAACTGTAAATTTTTATTCTTGTTACCTTTTTACTTTTTTAAAAGTTATGCTCTCATTTTCTTTTGCTCTCTTCATTTGTTCTATTAAGTATTTTAATGTCATAATTTAAATAATGTAATGAAGTACAAAAAGTAAATTTCTCTGAAGAAAAATGCTATGCTGAGTCCTGAGAAAAGTCACCTTCATTGCCTGGAGAGGGCAGATGGGAATCATTTGCTACTGAAAGATGGGGAAGGCCATCTTAAAATAAAAGGGAACAACATTAGTTTCCAAAGAGATGGAACCCTCAGTAGTTTCAGTTCTTCAAATTCCCCCTTTTTAAATGCCTTGATCTTCAGCTTTGCCAAACAGGTTCTACTGTTGAAAAATACCAGAAAAAATAGGTGGCTTTCCATAAGGAACAGAATGATATGTAGATACAACAAAAGAATTATGTATTTTATCCACAACATGTTGATTTAAAAAAAAAAAAAAAAAAGGAAAGTGTCAGTAATCTATAATAACAGAATGCTAAACTATGAAAGTAGGAATGCAAGGGACAAGACATACTTTGGAAATGCTTTAAAAAAAAGAGAGCGAGAGAAAACACCCCCCCACACACACGCAATAAGGTGTTGCAGAAGTCGGGATAACAGGGATCCCAAATGACTGACTTTAAAGGCTTGGGAAAATGGAAGAATTGGTGAAGAATATGAAAAGAAACAGCTGTCAACTGCTGGAACAGTGCAATTACTTCAATCATAGTAAGCATGAGGAAGTAGTGAGTACCTGAAATGCAAGAAGAAGGAAAAATCCATGTAGGAAGGCCAGGAATGCATTAGTGCACTCCTACTAATGCTTATGAGACCAGGTGGAAGGCAATATAAAGGAAGAAAGACTGAGGACTTAAAACAGATCCTATGAAATGAAGACAGAACAAGGAAATGGGGAGGAAGAGGACTCATCAGCAGGTACAGCAGGAGCTCTCTGCTAAACAGGAGGGGAATAAAAGGCATAAAAATCTCAAAAAAAGATCTCCAGAAGCTATGATTCAGTCTAGTGTTTGGGCCTTACCAAGTTTATCAGCGTTAACCTTAAATGTTGACGTTTTTCAAATATTTGAGATAAAGAGGAAAAACACCTGTTCTCTATAGCGGTATTGTGTTAAGAGGTACAGACTTGTGTACATTCATGTCAGCTTTTTCACTAAATTTTAGTTTCAGTATTTTCAACAGGGATTGTTGCAAAATACATGTCTAGGAGATGAAAAGTACTAGTAAGATGCAGAAACTTTTGGAAACACTAACCTTATCTGAAAGCAAGTATAGGCAGCATCTCTGAGACCACACTAAGGCTGTTAGCATGCTGGCGTTTCACAAGTCATCTTTAAGCTCTCATTCTTCAATCTATGAATTAGTAAAATACTTTTTAACTGTAATTGATTCTGGGTTCTTGTTCCTTTCAGATTATCCCTGGAAAACCAAAGCTGCTCGTGCTCAGTTACCAGGTACAACTTACAGTTCAGCAACAAAACCCATGAATATTTTAACTCGCCCACCAACAATTCAGCCAGTACATGGAAGAACAGACTGGGTGGCCAAATATGGAGGTCATAGATAGAGAGTGCCATCCTGTAGAGATGTTATTATGTGAGCTGCATTCAGTCCTCCTGCACTGGAAACCCAAAATGCCTGTTTGCTCTAACTTTTCCTAAGCCTATGCAATATTAGAAAATAATAAAAGACCTTGTGTTCTATTTGTGTGAAAGAAAAATATATTTCACATAATATTAGTTAAAATACTGGTTGTAAGGTAGGATTTCATAAAGTATTGTATAACACATCTTGGCAAAACTACTGAGTATTTAAAGCAAATATTTCACTAACATTTTTCTATAGATTGATTTAGTATGCGTGTACTGTTAAAAACAACTTTTATGGTTGTTTCCCTTATGCAAGTCCTCCGTTGGCAACCTGCTTTCATTCACACAAGCAGCAAGAAACAGGGCTAAACTAGCGCAAGCACCAGACTTTCAGGAGATGTGCTGCTTCCTTACTACGAGGGTGAGAGTGAAGGCACAGACTGGACTCAGAGAAGAACACGACG